TTCTCTACATCGTGGATGGGACCATGAGGCAGGACCAGTACAAGCTAGTACTGAAAAACAGGCTCCTGCCCCAGGTTCAAGAATGGTTCCCTGGTAATGAAGAGTATAAGTTCATGTATGACCTGGCACTATACCATAAAGTTAAGAGTGTTACAGCATTTCTAGCTAAAAAAAATGTTTTGCCTAGGGCGGGGAATTCACCTGACATAATCCCTATAAAAAATCTATGGGAGTTTACAAAAGAGGAAATTGCCAAAGAGATCATTACTACTAAGCAGCTATTGACAGAAACTCTTATTAGCATAACAACCCCAGTCTCCAACTAAATGCAAAAGTTTGCATAGATAGTATGCCCCGACGCCTGAAAGCAGTTATTGTAGCGAAGGCTGGCATAATATAAAAAATAAATAGCTATAAAAAATCAATTATGTTATTTTGTATTCTAAATAAACCCTCTAACAATAAAATTGATTAAAAAAATTACTACAAGATACGTATTTATTCATTAAAGAAGTTTTTAAAATTAGTAAAAAAGTAAATTGTCCCTAATAATTTGATTATCCATCAGGATAATTTTTTTACAAAATATCAGATTAAAAAAAAACATGGTTTATATTAATAACATGAATTCTTTTTGAATAACACTGTTTCAAACACTTTTGCTGTTGAGATCAACAACACATGCTTGAAAAAGTTCTCTATACTCTGGATGATTGATCGGCCTTTTGTATCTTAACCAATGTGACTGAAATCGACTGTGAAGGGTGTCGACACTCTGTTTACTATAGATACCAAGGGGCTGGTTGGTCATCTTGATGAAATATTTGATGTGGAAAAAAACGGTATAAACTTTTGGAGTCACACTTCCCTTTTGGAGAGCAAGAAATAAATTACGAAAATCATCATTTTTTCTTGCATATGACTCATCCAGTTTTTTCCCTAAGCATACTGAAACAACAGCACTGAATGCTCGAAATGCCTTTACTATGCCAAAAATTTGAAATGCTGAACTTTTTTCATCAAGACTTTGAAGTAGATCCACATTTTTCAGAAGCTTGTGACAATCATTGCCTGTAAACTGATCTCCATGGAATGGCTGGAGTTGGATATGAAGCGCCATCAAATTGTCTGCTTTGGACCAGCCTCAGTATTTTGTACAAATGATTGACAACACCCAGCAAAAGACGAAGTTCCATTGGTGGTATCAATTCCAGCCCAAGAGTTTTCTCAGTTGTGGCTATAACTGTATTGTTTATAATTGTGGTTCTTGAATGACATTTCCAAATTTTTTGGCCCTTTTAATGTCAAAACCAGCATCTCTGAATTTGCTTAGCAACTCTTTCATGGATCCAAACAATTTCTCAGGATTCCAGGATGAGCAAGCTGATTTGAATCAGTATTACACCAGGTGTATGAATGTGCAGACACTTAAGCAGACTTTGAGAAATCCACCACCTCCATTATCTCCAAAACAAAGCTCTAAAACTAATTTACTTTCAACATACTAATTCGAACTGTAGGATACTCTATTTTTTATCTATAGTCCTTAAATTGTGTGACCTTATTCAGCTATCAAATTGCCTATTTGTTTGGAACCAAAATCATAATAACCTACTTCTTACATTTATAAACTTTTTTAGTAGTAGAAAAAATTGTAAATATATTCTACGATCTGCTTTCAACTTTAAATTACCTGTACCTAAATACCGAACTGTTCATTACGGCTACAAATCCATACAACATAAAAGCATACGAACCTGGAACAATCTCCCTTCCAAAATAAAATCTCTTAAATCATTCTCAAAATTTAAAACTGCTCTCTTTAACCTTTTTTTAGAAAAATTTTTGTTCATAAATCTTTATATCTTTTTACAACTTATTATTTAATAAGTTGTAGAAAGATATAAAGATTTATGAAGCGGAGCTTCTATTCATCTATTATTTTTTCTCTTTTCTATTGTGGTATATTACTAATTTTAATATCATTTATTAAATTTATTATTTTAAACTGAAATGTTTCAATGGTATTCTCTTTATCACTATTGTTGTTATTATTACTATATTTTTATCATAATGAATATTATTATTATTGTTGTTGTTGTTATTGTTGTTGTTATTATTTTTGTTGTTATTATTATTATAACTAGTTTTATACTATTATTTTTATATTATTATTGTTTTTGTTATTGTTACTATTATTATTATTATTATTGTTACTAATATTATTATTATTGTTATTACTGCTAATATTATTATTATTATTACAATATATACTTTTTATAATCGCTACTATTATTTTTTTGATTACTATAACCACTATTATTACTTTATTATTCCTACTTGTATTATAGTTATTATTAATATCTCAATCTTATTTTTATTTAGTCTGACAGGTGTTTACTTTATATTAGTATAAATTACTATTTGTAAATATTCTTGATATATATAACAATTATATTCAGAATAAAAAAAAAATGACAAGTTTGATGATGTTTTCTGTAAAGATTTTTCGTGATAAAAGTATTTCCTCAACAAGTGCTGATAAATCTTTCCAATAAGTGACAGATCTTGCAATCTTTTGATGTCCAGATTCAGTAAAAGATGTCACCAATGTGCAAGTAAAATGGTTAGCAAGGCTCTTTCCAAGTTCTACGAACTTTGCATTGATGTTGGGCTTTAAATCTTAACTTTGGATACTTGATTCAGTGTTGTAATCAATTTTTTAACTCCAGAATTAGACATCCCGGTGTTTGCTTGAACCTGTGCAAAATCTTTTGCAGTGACATTAGGTTTATCATCAAAAAGTCATCTGGCACTTGAAGGGCCTAAAATAAGAACATAATTTAATTACTTATAGTTAAAATATTCTCATACCGGGAGTAAGAGTAAGGAGTAAGGGGCTTGCCACCTAAAGCATACATCAATTTCACAGTACCAAATGGAGAAGCTTCTTTACTATAGATGGCTGAGAAAGCAATTTCATCTGCGACTTTTGAATCTTTTGATACATATTCTCTCTAAATGTTGAAGCTGAACATTTATGAGGTAATCCTTTGCCGATAATTGTGAGGCAGGTTGAACATCTTCTTCCTGTTGAGCTGGTTGGTGACTTTTCCGTAGTTTCCAATGGATGCTTTTACTTTAACTTTAACCGTCCTATTTGGCAAATAAGACATTCACAAAGTTGTCGTCGCGTAATCATGTCCTTAAAGATGCTTTGAAAGTCAAACAAGGGTGGCAAAGTGACAGCTTGACCTTCGTCTTTATTTTTAAGAGCAACCCGGCATGGGTCACAAATGGCTGTTGGTACCCAAGCATCTTTAAAGTTGAAAATTTATTGGTAAATTTTCCGAATCCTTTCAATCAAAAAGCTTGTCAAGGGTCGTGATGATTTTTTCAGACACATAAAGCACACGCATAAGCGATTTTCATCGTGATTTCTAGGATAATTTGGCATTTTTAACTTGCGATTTTTAAAAATGCGACGAATAATCAGAAATGTTGATGAAAGAATATGCCTTTTCCCGGATTTTGCTGAATTTAATGCCAACAATTTGAAGAAAAACAAAAATTTCTGCCAAAGCAAGCAAAATTTACAAATTTTATTTGTAATACTTTAAAATATGTAATAAATTTAATCTATAACATAAAAATTTTATTCGCATCAGTTAAAAATGTTTACAACACATTTTAAATCTAAAATTATCCAGGTTAACTATAAATATTTAACTGTATTGCCAAAAATACTTAAATATATAGTAACAATTTTAAAATTAGAAGTTAAACCGTTGTTATTATTATTTTTTTTTTACTGTAAAAATGCAAAAAATATTGCTTGCTGTCATTTCTAAATTATGTGCAAAATAAAGAAAATTTAAAATTAGTTTTATTTTCTCGGACGTAATTAAACCATTTCAATTTTTTGACATTTATGATCCCAATGCCATGTAGTATCAAACCTGCATTGTGGTTTCTTCGGAAAAAGACTTTAGACTTTGGCGTGCCTCCCATCAGGTGTGAGATGCTTTGCAAAAAAGTTACGATAATTAGAGGGAACAAAAAGACCCCAAATTTTTTGTTCCAATCCAGCCCCAAACGTGAGAGCAACAAGTTGATAAAATGTTTTTTGTACTATTCTTAACTAGACTTATATTCATCGATAAACTTTAAATTTCATTATACAAATTTTTGGAAGTAATATTTGATGAGAACCATATTAGTTTTATTGAAAAAAAAATATATTTTCTGTTATAAGTGTATTATGCCTGTCATCTGTATTTTATTTGAGCTACTGTTTGTTTTTATAAATTTTTTTTGTGTAACGTAAAAGTTTTATTTAAATCTTATTATATCTAAGTATATATATATATATATATATATATATATATATATATATATATATATATATATATATATATATATATATATATATATATATATATATATATATATATATATATATATATATATATATATATATATATATAATACTAACTTACAAAAACAAGCTTAAAAATGCTAGTTTAAAAAACGACCCTTTCTAATTACGTTAGTTTTTTCTTTTTTATAATCAATTTAAAAACAAATTAACAATTCAAAGCTTCCTATTGAAGAAGTATGCTATTAAAATTATTAACAACTCTTCCTGACGATTACGCCAGGAAAAAAACCTTAACGAAAATACCATAGAATATTTTTCTTTAAATAGACTTGTTCTTATTATTACTATGTATAATAAACAAAATTTCTTTTTATTAAATGTATATTAAAATTACTTATTTTTTACAATTATAAAGCGAACATAAACAAGTAAATTTGGTAAAAAGGCAATTTTTGTAATTGCTTAAATCAAATTATGGTTTTTTTTATTGCTACGTTAAAACACATTATAAATACTATTACAGGTTTTTGATATAAATATATTCTTAGCAGCTATTTTAAAAAGTAAACGTGTAAAATTATGTGTAAAAATAATTTATAAGTGTTTCCGTACTTTTAAAAGAAATGTTATAAAAGAAATTAATACAATATAAAAATAACATCAAATTTTGAACATGACGGCAAAATCGACGTACAAAAACCTGGTGATAATGAGTGTGAGCTTCTTTTTCTTGTATGCTGCATATCTCCCTCTTCAAAATATACAAAGCAGTCTTCATAAAGATCCTGCACTGGGTTTTGGATCTCTTTCTGCCATTTACGCAAGTGGAATTCTTTCCTGCTGTTTTTTACCGAACGTGTTAATTGCAATGTTTAAACTGAAAACTTTATTAATTCTTAGTATATTTTCTTTTCCTTTGTATGTCCTTGCCAACTTCGTACCGAGATGGAGTACAATCTTACCGGCATCCATTTTACTTGGTAAATAAATTGTTTTATGCGTATATATAATTTTATAACAATTCTAGCATACTTCTTGCTATTAATATTTTTTAATTAAATAATTCTCTTAACAATACCTTTTTAATTTTTGATATAAAGATAATTTTTTGTTGTTTTTGAAGCGTACCGATGTCTAAGAGTTACTTATCTCAAACACCAAAATAGGCTTTCTCAACGCCTGTTGTTTTATATTTAAAAACAGTATACGTTATTCTTTTTATTGGATATATAGGATTAAGTGGGGCTGTTATGTGGACATGCCAGTCAATTTACATTACACAAATTGCAACGAGTTATGCTGATACAATAAAGTTTCCAAAAGATAGCTTAGTTTCAAAATTTTTTAGCATATTCTATTTCTTTTTTCAATTCTCACAGATTGTTGGCAATGGTGTATCATCGGCTGTTTTAACGAATGTAAAAAATGACAAATTAACAGGTGAGACTTTTTTTACTAAAATTATAATGTTTCTGCAAATATTTTCTTATGAATATTTATTAAGAACTTTGTTTAAAAGACATTGTCTAAAGATATCGTTTAAAAGACATATTTTGGACACATGAGTTTGCACTATCATTTGATACATATTAAATTTATCCTATGCTTTATTTGCCATGGTAATTTATCATATTAAGTTATAATATGTGATATTTTGTAATATAAATAGGCTTTTTATCGAGCGTTTAACATTGCACTTACACCAGGGTGGGCTATGTAAACACAGGCTATTAAATGATTTCTAATACAATAATTAGGCGTCAAATTTTTTAACAAAAATTATTTTTAATCTAGCAATATTATTGCTGAAAGTTGTCATGAACAATTAAGAATAAGTCAAAATCTGTAATGGCGAAACCTTAATCTGAATCAATAAGATATCTTTGACTAATTTTAAAATTATTTCATTACAGTCGATACCAGATATAATTATTTCATTACAAATAACATAAGCACAAACATATAACATAAACATATGGTATAAGTTAAACATACAAAGTTAATTTTTATTTTGCTTGCTGATTTTTTTTATAGTTAAAAACACTGCGATTTTTTAGAAACACTTTATTTTGAACTAAATTTAACTTGTATATCGGCCCGAGTTAAAACTGATTTTAACAGTGATTATAGAGCTTAATAGTTAAATAATATAAGAGAGTTTTTTATCTTCCAGCTCATACTTTGTATGTGTATGTACATCATGCATAATTTAGTTTAAAAAATGTGTTAAAAGATATAAGTCAGTAGTTACTTACCAAGTTCTTTGGATGTTTCTATCCGTTGTTTTATGACCAACCTAGGTCCTAGGTCTCGAATGTAGCTTTTGATCATTTTTATGACTTTTCTATGTCTCTGGACTTTTATTTATTCTACCAGAACAGCATAATATTATAAAACTGATAAATAAATTAATTACAAGTAAGTAGTTGTAAAATAATAAAGACAATTAAATATAATAATAAGATATTAAAGCTTTGATAATTGAACTTTATTTCTTAATTTTTAAAACATTTTTTTTTAAGCCAATTTTCTCAGATCTACTGGCAGTTTCAACGTTCAAAATATAACATGTGGAGCAAAATACTGTCCATCCGGGGTTGCAATCACAAATGCTGAAACTCTTCATATAAATATTATCTACAAACTTATGAGTATACTTCTTAGCTTCACTCTTATTGGAATTCTAATTGCATTTTTCATGGATCCTTTGTCGGAAGAAGCAAAAACCAATCAAATGCCTAAATTAAAATTATGCTTTTCAACAATTAAAAACTTAAAAAATCCAATGATTTTATTACTTGTTCCGATAACAATTTTTAATGGAATGGAACAAGGGTTTGTATATGGTGAATATACAAAGGTTTGTTAAAATTGACGTTTTTAATTTAAGAATTAAATATTTATATATAACTAATATGTAAAAGTTAGTTAAATTTGGCATGAAGTATTTGTATAAGATGAATATACAAATGTTAGAAAATTTTGATATTTTTAAAAATGATATATCAATTTTAAAACTTGATTTTAAATAGGCATTTGTTGCATGTTCTCTTGGCATCGATGTGATAGGTTACAGTATGATATGTTTTGGTTCTGCTGCATGCTTTTTTTCTATGTTTATTGGGTTTATTGTAAAATGGTCTGGAACTTATGCACTTATGATATTCGGAATGTTTGCACATCTTAGTTTAATGACATGGTTTCTTGTCTGGGACACTCAAGCTTATCCTAGTTATATCTTTTACATTTGTGCCCTGTGCTGTGGAGTTACGAGTTCGATATGGATGTCTCAAACAAACGGTGAGGTTTTTGTTATCAAAATATTCTATCTGTCATGATGATTTATGACAATATATAGCTAATTTATGATAATGAATAGCTTATAGATTATCATAAGTACCTTTTAATAATTCTTTACAACTAATAATTTTAAATCTTGTGTTTCAATTTATAGCAATTTACGCAATATATTTTTCAAATAAGCAAGGAGCAGCGTTTTCAATTTTCCGTCTCTTTCAAAGCTCAGGTTTCACTATTGCGTTTGTTTATGGAAATATATTGTGTGTCTCAACAAAGATTTACATTTTAATGGCCTTCCTTGTTGTAAGTATAGCCATGTACAGCATCGTTGAGTTTAAGTACCAAAAGAATCACTTAACAGATGTTATAAAACAAGAATATGATGACAAAGATATTGTAGCTATTTTGTAATACGTAAAACATATTGTAGCCATTTTGTAAAAAAAAACATCGACAAATATTATATAAAATAAAAAATTTAGTGATTTCTTTAAAGTATCTGGTTAGAAACTTATTAAGAATCTGGTTTTAGATGTAACTATAATAAAATAATTATACAGTTGTATTATAATTATAATATATTAATAGAATAATAGTTTTGATATTCATAAACAATAAATAATTGAGGAAATACAATTTTTACCATACCATGAAATTTTACATTTTAATTGATCAATTTTTAAAGGTAGGTAGAAGATAATTTTTTTCTACTATATTTAGATGTAGACTCGATATAAAGACTATAAGTTTTCTCTTTTATTTGATTGAATCCAGATGATGGTAATCCGTGAAAAACACTTTTGTTCCAGATCAATATCTTAACAAATTGATACAATATAGGATCAGTTTTAAAATTTTGTAATAATTTCAAAAAAAGTTGTTTAAACTCAATTATCATTAGAGTTATAAAAAGTTTGAGTTTTGAACTTCAGAACCAAGAATCTCAAGTTCAAACCTTGCTCGATGCTTTTTTTAATTAACAAACCTTGACAATATATATAAAAAATGTAAGGGTCAATTAAACATGCTTTATTTAACGTTTATAAAATTCCTGAAAATAGAACCAATGTAAAATATTTTATATCTTAATAAAATAGGTTATAAATCTTTTGAAATTTTTTATAAAAAGTATAAATAAAAATAAACAACTATAATCAGAGGCAAATTTAGGGAGGGGCGAGTGTTCCACCTCCAGTGAAGGTGATTTTAGGGAGGGGCGAGTGTTCCACCTCCAGTGAAGGTAATTTTAGGGAGGGGCGAGTGTTCCACCTCCAGTGAAGGTGAGTTTAGGGAAGGGCGAGTGTTTCACCTCCAGTGAAGGTGATTTTAGGGAGGGGCGAGTGTTCCACCTCCAGTGAAGGTGATTTTCAGGTTATAATTGGGTTTTTTTTACGAACTTAGTTGGCTAGTCGGGTACTTAATACAATTTAGTCGGTTAAATTTTAGTTTGAGGACCTTTTTTGTTTTTAACCTTATACTGACTAATCCCAGAAAATTTCATAATTTTAAAATTTATTTCGGTTACGGACTATTTGTGACCTAAATCAGGGCCAACGACATCAGGGAAACCAGGGGGCCCTTTTAGTGTCGTCTCGCCAAGTGTCGCCCCCCCCCCCACTTTTTTTCTGAAAAAAAGTAAGACAATTCTAGATATAGACGACTTTTTTTAAGAACTGACGATTGTGCCCACCCCCCTTCCACTTCGAAACCCGTGTCGTTTATAAATAGCATTTATAAATATGTTGCATTAAATCCAATTGAAATTATTTTTTTTAATTCCATATCAAATAATAAAAAAAAAAAACATTGTTATAATTTATTGGATCACTAGGTCAATAATTTTTTTTATAAACAATATAGTTACTATATTTAGTATACTACTAAATAAACAACAAAACTAAAAATTATTACTTATATAAACTGTAGTTACTGTATGTACTAATCAACAAGCAACAAAATAAACTTAATTCAAAACCTTATCTCTACTCATAATATTTGACAAAAATTGAACATTTAGGTCTGATTGATTGCTCCAGTAGACAATATAGTATCAAGAAAAAATTAAGATTCCTAGAAAATTTTTGATGTCAGTGACACAGTCATCAAAAGTAGCATCATTCTTATCTCTTTGAGTATATAACTTTGTCTGTTCTAAAATATGGTTTGAAACACGGATCTTACGTTTCTGAGGCAAGTGTGCTACCACTGCGCCACGGCTGCTTGATTTGCTTGAGTTTTGCGCGTTTGGGGTTTGTACGCGTTTGTGTACGCGTTTATATATTAAAAAAAAGCAAACAAAAAATTCTTTCAAAAAAAATATTATTTGAAAGACTTTTAATAAATGAATTTTCTAAAAAATAGTTAAAAAACAAAATGAATTAAATTCCAATAAAACTTAACTATAAAACACGAAACTAAATTTATTAAATTCCCGTAAACATTAAAAAAAAAAGTTTTTTAAATCTCCCATTAGAGAAGAAATAAAAATTAATTCGAAAGATTTTTCAACTATAACTGTTTATACATCGAATTCAAAAAATGAATAGTATAAAGAGGAAGGTTAAACACATTTAATGATAATTTAAAGAAAATGTTTCTTTTCTTAACGCAGATCAAAGATGAGTTCCTCAAATATACTATTTGTCAAAACCTATTTAACATTAGTAGTCATGGATGGTCTGCAATTGAAGATCATTACAAAACTATCAAATAAAAAATGGTATTGAATGTTTCTATATTATCAAACAAAGTCACAAAGTTGATGAAGAGTCAGAGCACTGGTCAAACGGAAAAAATATTAATCATTTAAGAAGGAATACTTGCATTCCACAAAATCAAACATAACCATACCTTAGGAAGTGCTAAAACAAAGTTTTTTAGAAAAAATGTACATCAAAGCTAATTAAGAAATTTTATAATCTAAAATTTGCTTGTGCGCGTAAAAAATGTGAAGCAATAATTGTAAAGGTAAGATTGTAAATAGTAATTGTAAACAGTAATTGTAGCGTAATAATTGTAACGTTTTTCTAAGCTTAAAAAGTAGTAGATCATAGTGGCTGATATAACTTAAGTTATATCAGCCACTATGATCATACTTTTTAAGCTTAGGAAATTGTCTGAAACTTTTATTTGACTTTTACGTCTAAAGTATATAGATGAGTGGACACGTCACTTTAAACAAGTTCAAGTTTTTAAATGGTCTTTACTTATCTGTAAAAGTTAAATTGATTGAAATTATTGAAGCTATAACTTTTTTCAAAAAATCAATAGAAATCACATTCGATGACAATGAATTGTTCGACGAAATTCGGAGAACTAATTTATATTGCACAAAGGAAAAGTTTTCTTCTTGAAACTCACAATCTGTTGAATGTGACAAGCAATGGGTTGAAATTTTTTCTTTTTTCAAAAATGACCACGTTCTTTTTAACAATTTGTTAAAACTGGTGGAAGCCGCTTTTTGTTTGTCAGGTACAAACGCTTCCATAGAGCGAATGTTTTCGATTGCCATTGATATTTAGACAAAAGGGAAAATCTAACAAACAATAAAAACTGTGGCAACTATAGCTGCAAAAGTTTTCATTCAGCAGTACATATTTTTTTTCGTTAAATTTAATTTGAGAAAGTTTAGCTGCTCAGAATTTGTAGAAAAAATTGAAAAAGATGACATGTTGCTGAAAATAATTCATTCTTATGAAAAATTATTGTGATTCAAAAATGCAAATATTGTTTAAAATTTCTTTAATTTGTTTCTTCACATGCTAATTTAAAACAAATAGACGAGTTTTTAGTAAAAATCCGTTTAAACTAGGCCCGTATGCAGGGCGGGAGCAAAAGGGGCTCGTGCTCCCCTGCGCTTTTTCCTGTTTGGCCTCTACAAAATTGAAATTAAACATATGTTTAAAAATTGTTAGTAAAACACAAAAATGGACAAGGCGAAACCGTCTTGAAAATATAAAAAATAAAATTAATCATTTTATTAAATTTATGCGAAATCTTATCAAAAAATAGGCAAATATAGACGCTAAAAAAATTGCACTTGGGCGCCTTTATTTTTATTTTATTTTTGGCACCTTTTGAAAAATTGCTCCCCCTTTAAAGAAATGGTATTTATATCAGGCTAGGGATGTGATTTAAATACCATTTGTATTTATATATACCAAATTTATTCCTTGTACGCGTCTGGTATTTTTCAAACATGGTCACCCTAGTAAGTTACATACATCATTAGTGAAAAAGTTCCCATATTTCGTAGCAGAACTTTGTAGTTAGCTGAGGATACTTGTCTTCCACACTAATTAATGACTATTCTAAAATAAGAGGTCTAGTTTTCTAAAAAAAAAACAGTTCTCCATCGTAAATCAGCCAAAAGATTTTCATCATGAAAATAACCTTTGTCATTTAAAGAATAAGAGGCCAATGAAACTTTCAATTCTCCAGCTGGCTCAAATAATTTATTTGACGGTTTATCACAAAGTTCTTCGTCAGTTGGTATATCTTGATCGCCGCCATCAGGAGGAAGAATGGTAACGTTGATACCCTGTTTTCAATTTCCGAGAGACCCATGGCTTCTTACAAAGTAAGTAAGACTTACTTTTTTTTGACTCTATAAAAGACGGCTCCATAATATTTTTAATATTTGTAATTAATTTTATACTGAAATTATTTAATATAATGTAATACTTTAAAAAAACTTCATAAAACATATATATGTATATATGTTTTGTGTAAATATATATAAAACATATATACATATCTGTTTATATACAAATGTATATGTGTATATATATATATATATATATATATATATATATATATATATATATATATATATATATATATATATATATATATATATATATACATATATATATATATATATATATATATATATATATATATATATATATATATATATATATATATATATATATAAATATATATATATATATATATATATATATATATATTTATATATATATATATATATATATATATATATATATATATATATATATATATATATATATATATATATATTTCTTAATTATTATTTTACTTAAAAACCATAAGTTCTATGTTTCCTTGCAACAGTATTATATTTTTTTAAACAAACCTCATTACATCAAGCAATGCTGCATAGCTAACATCCAAATGTTCCCATATGGGAACATTCTATTTCAATCTAATTATTTTCCTATTTATATGCATGCATATTAATATGATTAAATGATATGGTGTATTTACAACTGGGAACAATTAGAATTGAGTTGTGAAGACTCAACTTGAGTGGTCCCAAAATTTCAGGATTTCGTGTTTTTATAAATTTAAAAATATACTTTTTTTTAAGGATTAAGCAATATTTTAGTGTTAAAGATATATTTTATGAGCATTATTTCATCAAGTGAAAACTATTTTTGATATAAACATAACCTTATAAGCAAACTATGAAACTGTATTCTT